TTTTCTCCTCTTCTTTCTGGTTCACGTTCTCTCCCTGGTTACAGACATACTCCCTTATGCAGAGGCACCCAAGGGCAACAGAAATCTGCTGTGAACAAGCCCCACAACCTCACCGCAGCCTCGTGACATTTAAAAAAACCCCAAAACCCTTCACATCAATGGTATTTTATTTTTACTTGTTCATTTCATCACAGGATTTCTGTGTCAAGGCGGTATTTTTCTGCACAGCTGAGGAAGACGTAGTATCGATCAGGGAAGGGACAGAGAAGCTCACCTTTCTGATAGAGGTTGTAGGTGACCATCATCTGTCAAACCTGTCGCTCCGTAACAAGGATTTATGACTTTTCATGCTGCATTTCTCAGTCACGGACATCTCGGTGCTATTTCCAAAGCGTCAGTGAGACCGTAAACACATCTAGCAGGTGTGCATGTCCCTATCCCATGTGTACATATTCACAGCCATGCGCACACACCAAGCGTCTCTGTGACCTATTTTCGTACTTCTTTGTGACACTTGCAATGTATTATCTACATTAGAATCATAGAAGAATTAAGGTTGGAAAAGGCCTTTGAGATCATCCAGTCCAACTGTCAACTCCGCACCAACATGACCCCTAAACCACATCCCAAAGTGCCATGTCTACACATTTTTTGAGTACCTCCAGGTATGGTGAGTCCACCACTTGCCCGGGCAGTCTGTCTCAAACGTCCTCTGCAAAGATCAAAGGAGCTCAGGTTAATGTTTTTTAAAGTAGTTTTAAATTTCTTTTTAGCTTGAGTTAAAAAAACTATCAGAGAGAGAAATTAATTTATGGGAGAAGTTGAGAATCAGTCATATATCGGCCGACTTCAACAAGATGTAAATTTGCACATATCAAAAAATTTGCACAATCAAATTTTTGTAAAAATAATTCATAGACACAAAATCAAGACATACCTTAAAAAAAAAAAGGCAACACAAACATGTTGCTTCAGAGCAAGATTTTCCACTTGCTGGTGTAAGGACAGCACCCCATAAGGTATTGCAGTGTATAAATCCAAGCCTGTAGGTAAAACAACTACGTACCTGACAGAGGAGCTTGCTGTAAATTTGGTGCTTTAAAGCCACCAGAACATACACGGTGACATGCTCACAGGATTCTGTCGAGCAACAGGATTCCCCATCGCTCAAGGCCACAAGAGAGGCCAAAGGTAGTGCGTGGACACTGCAAGAAGTTACTCTCTCCTTTAGTTATTTCTAATTTAATTGTTTTTCTGCGCAATTCTTTAGTTAATCTGCAGAGGGCTGCTACCCCACCCTGCCCTACCGGCTTTCAGGCTGGGGACGGTGTTGGGTTAAACGTGATTCTGACTACTGACAGCTTTTAGCAGCAGCACAGCACCCAAATCTTACCAGGCTGCAAAACCTTCCTGGGCTGCCACCAGTGGCACCTGCATGTGAGAGGCGGCCGTCCTCAGACATGACAACAATACTGGATTACCAGATATATATATTATTTTTATTATCATTAGATTGTCCCGTTCCAGCAGGTGGGAACAGGCAGGACGGAGGCAATTCAGGGAAAACAGGTAAAAGGACACTTCCACGCACGCTCAAAAAGCAGTGCATCAAAATCTCAGCTTTAATAGTCCTGTATCTAATTGCTAATGAGCACTTTTACTAGAGTTGAAGTGCTAAGAGACTCGGAAAAGACTGGAGAGTTTCCCAGCAGGTCCAACACAGCTGGAGAGACAGGCAGAGGGCAGAAGTCTGTCTTCTCCTTCCGCCTGTTAACGTTCAGTCCTGTTTTTCCTCCTTTTTTTTTTCCTCCTTTCTGTCTCAGAGTCACCCACATGCACTTCTTGAGCAGCTGTGAGGCTGTGCAGGCATCACAGGGATAAAAGGGGAGGAGGAGTTTGGGTGAAACTGAGCATGCAGAATTAAAAAAAAAAGAGAAAAGAAACAACAAAGAAAACCATACCCACTTAAAAGATTTACTTAGCGCAGAAGGTCTGCATTTCAGAGTAGAAGTTAATGGAGTTGTTAGGGTTTTTAGCAGGGAAGAACAGCACCTCCAGCATCCATTTCTATCCCCAAGTCACACGTGGTTACGAGCTGGAAGTTCTGCATCTTCACTCGCTGTTTTTGCCTCTCGCTTCGTAGCAGGTATCACATTTTGGGCTAGTCCATTCTGGTTTGGTTAGAGGAGGAGGCCTTCTGATTAGTTGCTGTAACTGCTGTGTAAAGACCGCCCAGAAACAGTCTATGGCGACATGATGAAGTCTCTCTGGAGTCTCTCTACCAGTTGGCAGATGCAATAATAAAGCTGTAACAGTTTTCTGGGAGTAAGTGTTGGCTCAGAGGTTCCAAACTACATTTAAACAGGACCTGAACATACAGTTCGGAGCCAAACTGATACCTGGTGCAACCCAGTAAGGCTGGAGGAACGACACCTGCGATGATTTTGGTCCCACACGATATGTCCATGGCCAACCTCTCAATATGCCTGGCTGTAAGCATCTTCAAAAATGGCATTCTCTTTATAGTACTAAATTCTCATCTGCCAAATGTGGCAGTCAATGAGCTCTTCCAAACTAAATACTGCGAAGATTATGCATAAATACTGAAGCCTGCTAATCAGCGCCTTGGTGAAAATTATTTGATCTGTTACAGACAATAACTATTTGCTGAAGTTTTTATTCTGCATTTTTTACTTCTGCAAGTAGCATATGTGATTTTATTGGCTGGCTATTTTAAACCATAGAGGGTGATTGGTGGAACAGTACAAATCCCTCTAAAGCCCAAAATTGCCAGCTGCAATTACAGTCTGCATGTAGCATCTTCTCTAAGGACTATAAATGCTTCACTACTTTAATACCATTTGGAATTTGCATCACTTGTGTGCAATTCCTGAGCAATGGCAAAGGATAGATTCAGTAATGAAGTCTGGACAGTAAAGAAATACTGTCCAAATTGAAATATCCTCCCTATTTTCATCTACTATTCATCAGTCTGTGCACATGGATACACCACATTTACCTAAAAAGCACTGGTAACACAGGTACCTTCCTTTTCGCAGACAAAATATTTGCGGCTTTTTGCACATTGGAGGCGAGGAAAGACATTTTCTCTATATATTTCTTGACTGTTTTTAACTGCTCAGAAGGATGAGATAGTAAGTTGTAAATATTAGTAACTAAAAGGTCAGGCCGGCAACTCTGTGATTCCAGGTAAGGCTCATAGAATTCTACCAATTTCAGTGATGCTGCACAGGTATAAAGTGGGAATGAAACAGCAGTGACTCAGCTACTTTTTGAGCTCGTATATACACGGTTTTAATTACCTGAACTATTCGTAATGGCCCCCAAGTCCTAGCCATACGAGAAGACAAGACCAAGCGTTGTACCTCCGACTGAACGAGCAGAGGTGCAACTGGGGAAACAAACACTGTGAGAACGCGGGGCTTACGCAGGAAGCCTTCTGGGTAGTGCCAAAATTAGTTTCCCTTATTAAAAAGGGATATGCTGGAGAAACAGTCTTTAATAGGGAAAAAGCAGGTTTTGGAGAGGCGAGATATAAAATAAAAAAAAACCACCTGAGGCACGGCGAGCTGTGCAGAGTCAGCGTTTGCAAATGGCACCATTTGCCTTCATCAGACAGAGCTGTGAACTTCTGAGAGACCCAAGTAATTTAGGCAAACGGGCAACACAGTGGAAACGCTGTTCAATGTCATCGAAAGGTCAAGCGCTGCACAGTAAGGTACGCTAAGAGACAAAAATTTCAACACTTTACATGCTTCAAAAGGGTTCAAAATTAATCATGTAAGCACTGGGACCTTACCAGTATGTGCTGCTCCTTGGGAGCCAGAGCCCCATGTGCAGCTGCAGTCTAAGTATTAGGCCGAATCTTTATTCTAGATATCTTTCTTTTATAGACTGGATCCCCCAAAAATCTAGTACAGCAACAGTGCAGCACCATCTGCATACTTTGGGCATCGCTGCTGAGGCCCTTCAGCAAGAATACCAAAGAATTAGATGGGTCCTGGAGAAGGCTAAGCATGATACGGCCCAAATACTTTCAAAGGACAGACTAGAAAGATGCAGTTAGTTTATTCCAAAGAGTCAATAAACAAAGCCAGGAAAACAAAGCAGATAGAAAGCTCTGAGAGGTATTTAGCTTGAGCTCCTATTCTTCCTGTCTCCACATCACGGTAGCAGTGTTCTCCCCTTATTCTCCTCATCAAAAAAAACCCCAAAACCCAACCCCAAAATCCTAAAAACCCTCACAAGAAAATTCCCAACAATGATCCTTGTGGTTTTCTGAATCACATGGGAAGGCAACTAAACCAGCATTCACTGGCTCTGCATACCGCCAAGTCAATAACCCAACAGAATTTCATTGATCGCAGAAATCAGGAGCACAGGAGGTTCTTTGACATTTCTACCTGACCCCAGTTTACTAATTCCTGCCAGAAACGTCCCACATTTAATGGCCACCTCTCTCTACCCCAACGCAATACAGGAAAACAGAAGAGCTGTTGAGTGATGCTGTTACAAAGAAAGAAGAATCTAGACAGCATAAACCTGTCAAATCTGGCCCAAGAAAAACAGGTACTGAAGGACTTAAGTATTTTTGATTAGGAAAAGCCTCACAAGAGATGCAGTCAGAAGAGAAGGTTATACCTCTGCCCTTTGGGCAAATTAATAGCCTATCAAGTGGTACCTGCAGCTACATTCTGAAACAATATCGAAGCTGAACATTTCCCAGCTGTGCACCGAAGAAAACCCAACTCCACATAGCTCACACCAATACTTCACAAAACGGAAGACTTTGTAGGATAGGCCAGGAAAATGAAACGGGGCGTTGTATGGCTGTATCGGAGCAGAAATAGTGCCTAGACTCTTCCCCAGCCCCATCGCTTTTCCTCCTCAACATCGTAAACCAAGAGATCTCGGCATAAAAATTGCACCCCGTCCCGTATTTCTAAAAGCAAGAGTTAGAAAAACTCTTTGTGGCCTACCTTGTTAACTTTGTCCCAATCTGCTGCCTAAGCTCGAGCCTCTCTTCATCAGTCTGCATGGGGAGGATGTTCTTTTCCTCCAGCTCTCGCTTGGAAGGCCTGTTGCTCAGCTTGATCGCCAAAGAGTCCTTCCTGCAGACTTTCCTCGCCAGGGAGCCTGTGAAAGGGAGGAGAGGTTCTGCCAAAGGAGGTGCCACCATCTCATCACAGCATGCAGCAGGCAAAGAAGCACCAGCCAAGGTACCAGGCTCTCGTTTACACTGCTGTGGGCTCTGGGAAAAGGGGCGTCGATTAACTTCAGGTGCTCAGTTCACCTCAGTTCATTTCGTAATAAAGAAAAGCTGAATTTGGTAGGTATGCAGGAAAAGAGAAATTAAAATATTGCTCCACAGAGGGGAATGGATAAGAAGGGCTTGTTTCAGAATTGCTAGCAGGATCTGTAGCTTTCTCTAGCACAGCGTTTCTGGTCCATGTAACGGAATGAATAATTCAACCTCAGGATCTCGGCAGGCAACAGAGCTACGGCATGTCGACAGGCAGAGGTAGCTCTTTTTTGCAATGTAATATTTAGACATCCAAGCTGGCATTGGAAGGAACCAGAAGTCAGTCAGAAGCAGCACAGATCTCTGTGTAAATGAACTGGTTCTGCTTCTCAGGCACTGTAAAAACCAGAGGCCTTTCAGGGCTCAAGCTTCTGTTCCTTCTCTTGCTTTTCAAAGCAGTTTGAGCAGGGAAGACAGACACAAACCCATGAGAGGTTCTGGGCCTTGGCAGGAAAGTGCGAGACAGTCACTTAACCTCTTCTCTTCCTGTTTGAGCCCAATTCTCCGATGACCCCTTTCAAAGTACGTGCAGATGATTCTGACATGATTTGACACTCACTACATATAAAAGCTCTGATTCTCTCTGAGCACTTATTTCATCCTCCTGAAGTAGCTCTATTGAGCTGAGCTCGACTTAAGTCAAAGGCAGAACTTCACTTGGGAAAGTGAATCCAAAAGTCGATTTGAAAGTGAGTAATATAAGCCAAAACCAGTCCTCTGAATCCTACCTGGGACTCAGGTGGATTACAGAAATCACTATAAATTTGTGCTACTTGTTAGTTCGGATTAATTTATCGGGCATCCCTATGTAGTCAAGCCCTGAGAGCTGGAAAAAACACAGTGAAGAAAGAAAGTTCGCAGGCCTCATAGTTCCCTTGCACAATGAGAGTTCAGAGTGAACATTAAACAAATGAGAAAGGAAAAATGGAGTGAGTCTTACTTGTAAATAACGAGTTATCCTCATCTTCGTCTTCCTCTTCCTCCTCTTCCTGTCTCGGGTACAGGCAGGAAGAATCTTCATAGTCGGTTTCATGAGGCACATTTTCTTTATTGTCATCGCATTCGATCACAACAGTTGGCACTTGTCTCATGTCTGGAAGGCCCCCAGGTCCTGGTTTCGTGACGCTGTCACCTGTGTGTAAACCGGAGCTGTCGGGAAAGAACAAGAAGGAAAGAGCTCAGTGGAAGAACTGAGGTGCTTCTCTCACCGTTTCTGGCAAAGTGGTGGTCCTTCACCCCCTTTTGAGAAGAAACAAGGACAGAAAGATCTTCATGACCGGGAGGACATCTAGGGGTTTAAACTGAGTTAACATTCGATTTAAGGCACAACACACTGCAGGCAGAAACACTGAGAACTAAAGATCTGAGGTGAATACAGTCTCCCTTTCCCAAGGAACGCATCAACACAGGTAAGGAAACAGGAACACGAGGAGGTGAAGATCGAAGCCAAGCAAAAGGAGAAAGGAAAAGTCAGGAGCAGAAGCAGGTTTCCTAAGTCATTTTTATCTAATCGCTCACGTTGCTTTTCCAGTGTCAAATTAGAAGAAGAGAGTGGTGGGCAAAACCGATGGTGGCTCGGGTTTATTTGTGAGTCACCAGAAACTGCCCTTTCTCTTCAGTCCCACCAGAGGCAACAGCTGTAGGAAAGGTGGGGAACATTTGCTCTCTTTATGCCAAACTCCCATTTTACTTTCCAGAAGAATGTAAGTGTGAAACCAGATGTGCTGGCCAAGCTGCACTCAAGGCACACGAATTTGGGTCTGATCTTAGTGAGTGCTAAATAGCCTCCATTCCCTTGAATCTTTCAGCCTGCTCAGAATACCACGGGCATTTTGCATCTTGAAAAAAAACCACGTTGTCTTCTCTCTAAATTATCTTCTACTGAGTCAACTTGAAACACTTCTCTTTCTTCTAACCCTAAAGTTAACACAGTTGCCAGATAACATCGCAGAAAGACTTTTTTTAAGGGACTTTTGGGCATGTAATGCTAGTCCACAGGTTGCTGAGGGATTAAGGAGAAGAAAAGGCTTCAGATCTTGTGAGCAAACCACACCGTGCCATTATCATCTTCAGCTTCAAAGAAATCATTCTGTTAATTGCAACATTTATTACTGCAGACCAACCAACAACCAGATGCGCAGCTTTACGGGATGCTTTCAAGAGAGAAGCGCCTTTTTCTTGGTGACACATCATGTTCTGTACGGCAAAGCAAGAGAGCTTCACGAAGAACTGGCTTGTGATTTTTTTGTGTGAGACTTCAACCAGTTTGACCTGAAAAAATTTATCCCAGAAGCAGTTTTAAAATTCTTCGTCTGAATTCTCCTAAAGGCACCACAGCCTTTAAAAACTTTCAGCTAGCTTCCCATTTACTGATACGCCTTCATAATTTTAATTTTAGGAACTTCATTCGTAAAAATCTGTTTTCTCTGAGGGATGAAGGTTACGGAACAGGGGAGCAGGTACCAGAGCAGTTCACCAGTTGGGGTTACCGAGCAGGACTGGGTGGCAAAACAAGATTTACAAATGACCCCAGAGGATCTTCATTTGAACTAGCGAGCTAGACACAGGCGCCTTCTCGTCTCACTGTGATTTTTCTGAATCATCCACTTCCTTGATGATATTACTTCCTATTTTAAGCCCCTCATTTATTTTTTCTTTTTTTTCGCCTGGTGTTTTGTGTTCTTCTTGATTAAAATCAGCCTTTTCCACAGCGTTTTGACTCAGTCAGCTGTCTAAGCGAAGCGCTTACGAAACACACGCAGTACTGCAGTATACTTAAGAAAGACAATTCAAGGTCACCGGGTATTTCCATCGTGTATAAATTCCTCGGGATCATGAGTGAGAACCCTACGCGGTCAGGTGGGCTGCATCGCAAAATTTTTTTAGCGTTATTTACCAAAAAAGCACAAAATTGTTTCAAACAGCCCATTTAAAATAGCTTCGTGCTTTGCAGCGGAATTGGAGAACAAAGCTCCGGCTAAGCGAGCGCTTGTTTTAAGAAGATAAACGGACGTTAACACATAGATTTGCATAATTCATAGCTGACGAGTACAAGCGCTTGCAATTACTGTTGCATCATCACAACAGCAAAGAAGTTACACCCCTGTAGTTTACAACGTGAGAATACATTTTAATGGAAAATCAGAACTGCAGCATATGAGTGACTCACGGTACGGGCACCATGGAAAAAGAAAAAAGTGAAATCCCTCCTGTAAGATCTCGTGGGGAAAAAAACCCACACGCTTCTCATCCCAGGCTCTTTGATTTTTGGAATAAAGAGTCACATTTTTATCAGCACGTTTTCAGAGCTGTAGTAGACTCTTCTGCACTTATCAGTTAAAACAAAAATCTGAAAAAGACTTCAAACCGTCGTTAATATACATTTCTACACTACAGGCATATGTGTGAGAGACAGAAGGCAGAGCTGTAAATATTAAGTGTTTCTATCCTTAGGCAACACTAAAGTTTAGACAAAAAGCAATTCTCTTGACAAGTTTTATGGAAGAGAAATGTTTTCTGACTCAAACACACTTCGTAAGATTTACAAGACAGCGGCAGGAAAAGTCTAATGCATTTCATTTCATAAATCCACAGTCTGAGGCTGAGCTGGGTGTCCCAGAGGAACCGGTCTCACACGCCGCCTGTTTGGCTGCAGCGATTTTTCACTGCTCTGCCACAGGTGCAATTCTAGCCTGGAGTGAGATATTGCCACTTCACAGCTCTTTAGTACATACGTTGAATAAACCGAGGCCTTGATTCAGCTGCCAGTGCACACGAGCCCACAGAGTAATTGAAATTAATTGCTGTCTTAGTAGACACACCAAGAAACTGTAGAGAGCAAGAAAATGCCTCCCTAAGTCAAAATTAAATATACAAGAGGGTTTCTAAAGCTTCTTTTGCTGCTGGTCATGATGCATGCATAGCTTTTTTTTTAATCAGCTTTTAAAATTTATTTATTTTATCAGATATTTACGGGCTCTTAAAATGCATTCCGAAATGGTAAAAAAATGATGCCTGATTCTCAAGTTTTACTTACAGTTGACACGTACCCTTTGGGTTGAAGGGGAAAGTCGTTTGCAGTAAGGCAAGAATTGGCAGCAGAGGTTGCAGAAAAAAAGGTTACATGGAAATTACACTCTTCTCTGTTTCAACTTAAGCTATCACACAAAGCTGGTAATTTATGAGCGAAAATAGAGGCAAACTGGCAGCACAAATGACATGTCATAATAGTCATACTATGGCAAGGGACAGATTGCCCTTCTGAGAACAGGTTATGAAGAGATGTCACATGTACCAGAAAATGTTTGCAATCAGAGGCGTTAAGTGTTAAAATGAACTTAATGCTCTATAATGTCTGTAATAAAATGGAACAACAAAAAAAAAAACCAAACAGGAATTAACTGCCATTTTAAATCATAGGAACAACCGGGACTCAAATAGCTATTACAAGCTTTTAATGCACCTTAAGGCATTAACATTTTACTATGCACAAGATCTAGGTGAGGCCACCACTCCTGCAGAGGGGAAAAGAGAGGTGGAGAAGCTCAGTGGCTTTCTCAAGGTCAAAGACAGTAAAATAACTTCCAGGCTGGTACAGAGGGGCAGCTTATTTCCCTCTGGTAGGCTTCTGGCTCATTGGCAAAGCACTGATTTCCAGTATCAGTCTTTGGGTTTTGTTAGACTATCCCAACTCCAGAGACCTCAAATGTCAAAGTGAAAAATCCAGATTGCTAGAGGAAGGAGACGTTTCAGCCCATCACGCTTTGTTCCACATCCACAGTCCTGCTGGTCAGAAGAGTCATGACGTCTAAGAAAAGTTTACTGGGCAAAATGCAGAATTGATATGAACTGGCTGCAAATAGCAACGGAGTTTACCAGGACCAAGGAAACTAGAAAAAGGGAAGGAACAAAAAATCCTGGAGGAAAAGAAAAAAAGAAGAAAAGCTTTGGAGCAGAAAACTCATCTGCGCTTGTCTACATGATCTTCCCTTATTAAAAATAAAACACTGTTCTAAATAACCCCCCAAACTGCCAGATTTGGCAGCGCTATTACTGCAGCATCGTGGCAATTATCCCATCAAGTGGCAGGATTCTTTTGAGATGAAGGCT